TCAATTACAGTAAAAAACTGCCAAAACCTTTTTGTTTTAGTATGGAAGTGCACGGGATTACTCTTACATCCATGAGGATATGAAAGGGATAAAACAGTGTACGTGTAACTATGAGAGGAAGAGGATTTAAGTGACTTTTTCTGCCTAAGATCCATGTGTTTATTTTCTAACTGCAGCAGTTCGGATAAATAGGGATCTTTCTTGCTTAAAAAAGGTAAGAATGTAAAATATCACACATCACTTTTTAACAAAGAAGGACTTCCCCTTTCCCCTGGACTCAAAGGGTGTATTCAAAACTAACCTATGAGGGAAGCTGAATACTCTCAACTGCAATTTCATGATGCAATAAATTTAGTTTTTGGATGGTGACATGGCATGAAATCCTGTGTACAAGTTCAACCCACCAGTAAAAAATGATTTAAAAAACAAAACCCTCATGAAACAGGGAGTATAGAGTGTTTTTACTCATGATGGTTTTATGTCAGAGTTGGTCTTCCTGCTGCCAGTATAAAGCCAGGATAAAGCCTGGCCTAAACACTGTGACTCATAGCTGGCTAATCCTGACAGGAATGCAATGACATGCTCCTATTTGATCATGATCAATTTATTACCATTAGATGACCTGGTATTGCACAGATGAGACATTAACAGGCATTTCAGTCTGACTGCAGGCACAGTTGGAGAAGGGATCAGAAAGGGAAATTCATGCAGAGTCTGTGGTTCAGAATAGCGTCAGAATTATGCAGGAATATTGTCCCCATGGACAAAATAACTATCCAGCAGCCTCCCTTCCTTCTTTCCATACCATCTGTGTGTCACAGTCTACCAGTGCTGCAATTGTGCCAATGCAACTGTTTGTGGGACCAGAGTGTGAATTTAATCAACGGAGTAATTCTGGTTAAAAATTATTAGATTAGACAGAACTTTAAAAATCTGGATTGAGTGATCTGATTTACAACGTAGCTGCACAAACAGCTCAGAGGCCACTGAAAGTCCAAATCATTAGTTGCCAGTTCCTGCTCCTGCCTAAATTGATGGATCCATATTTATTAAGCCCAGCTTTGTGCTCTGCTGACTAGCCAGCAGGACGATCTGAGCCAGCTCATGTGGAGATATGCAATTGCATTGCAGACACTCACTGGTGACTCCACGGGAGCACCTGCTGTAACCCTTCCAACACTGCATGTTGTGAGCAAGCACAGTTGTCACTTGGCTGCCCCTGTGTGCCAGGGGGTGCCAGCCCTGCAACACTGGGAGTTATTTAGGGCTTCTTCGGGCAGGGAGGAGGAAGGGACTGTGGGGGCCCCCCATGCATCAACTGTATGGTTTGCAGCCCAGCTGCAGCTCCCACTGCAGGATGAGTTAGGAATTTCAAATTCCCAGGCCTTGGTGAGACTAGAGAGTCCAAGATGGAGTGAGCCAGCAGAGGGGAATTCAGACTGTGGCTACTTCTCAGGGTGGGAACAGTCTGGCCTTAATCAGCAAACTCTCCTTTGAGAGTTGCTTTACATCAAGTTCTTTCATTTTCCTGAGATAGAAAAACGCTCTCAAGCTTCATGCAAAATTCCACTCATGATCTGTTTCAGCCCACGCTCCTTGAATCCTAGTCCTCTTTTTCTGTTATTTTAGGCCCAGCTTTCATGCTAGAAAGCATCCTGTTTGTGTCTAGTACTGTGCATAATTAATACAGGCAGAACAAGTTCTAATGCAAAGTATATTTCAGATCATAAGCATTAGAGAGTTGACGGACCTTCACAATTTTTAATACATTTCCCTCACTGGGACATTTTGGTGGTTTTTCCTCAATGACTCACTAGTGGCCCTATCAGTGTTACACAATAGAAACAAACACTGACTTCCAAACCCAGTAATATTCGATGCTGGGAGTAGATAAAGCTCATTTAGAAATCTTAAAAAAAACCACCAAAAACTCACAAACCCTCAAATGTGTCAAGAACAGGAATTTAGGATAAGCTGCAAATAAAATTCAGAATATGATTAAAAAGTTCATCTGGAGAGAAACCCATGCAAAATTCTTGGAAGTGAGGTGTCTTTATGTTTAGGGTTCTGGACTATTCTAATGGAACAAGCTTCCTACCATTCATAAAAGAGCCTTGACTTGCTAAGCTTCAGCTTTGATGTTCCCCAAAGCCATATAAAATACCTGCATGTAAATTTTTTTTGGACTAAATGAAAGGTACAAGCACTTTTGAAACCCTTGAGACAACCAGCAAACAGGATTTTCTATAAAAATGTTTTTCCAGCTGAGACAAATATGAGATGTGTGACAGCATAAACATTTTAAGAAACAATCCATGGCTAAAACCCGTCTGCCAGACAGAGGAAGTCAAAGAGTTTGCCTTAGGGGTTTAAGAATACCAGATTATTCAAGTACTGATGAATAAAAAAAAATAGGGGAAAAAAAAGACATGATGATGGGCTGAGACTTTCCTGCATGGAAAGTATTAGGCAATGCTTCTTAAAAAATAAAAGCTCTTTGGTTGTCTAGATTTGAAACAAAAGTATTCTTTAATACAATGGCTGGGTATTGATGACAGTGACTCTATCAACAAGGTACTATCTCAGGAATGTAATGCTTGCACCATTTTTCTAAAAATGTGAGAGCATCTCAGTGAGCAAGTTGTAAAACAAACCAAATAATTGTAGATTACAAAACATTGCACAACAGCTGTGTTCTTTAAGATGTATCTATATTCTTTGAGATATATCTATATCCTTTAAGATAGATCTATATTCTTCAAGAATGTATTACTAAGACTGCACAGATGTTCATATTTTTATTAACTGTTCTTGTTAAGGGCAGCCATAAAATCCTTCTCACCAAGTCACAATAAGCCAGACTTGCAAATTAGTGCTGTCTTGCCTGAACACATGGAATGGGAATACCTGCAGGCAGGATGACCACCTCCCTAAAAATGATTTCCAAGATTCTTCCTTCCAACAGTAAGGACATGATTCCACCTCCCTGTGTCTGATACTGATGTCCAGCCTGATGACACAACAGCAGTTACTTTATTTCTTTCTGCATTAAGAAAATTCAGAATTGTATGAAGATTTTTTTTCAGAATTTACATTAACCAATAAAAAGCAATGGAGAAAAAAGGGAATCCACTGTTGCTGAGGAGAGAACATAATAAGCAACAGAGCTTTCCTACTCTTGAATTGATTATGGAAGGAAAAAAAAGAAAAAAAAAAGAATGGATAAAGATTTATATTTTCATCCACTACTCTTGCAGTCTGGTTCAAATTGAAATCCATACAAACGGCTTAATATTTAATGAGCCTTATAGACCACAAAAATGTGATGTAAGGGCTTCAGTTGTCTTCACTGACTCTCTGCATAGGGACAAATGTCACAACAGATGTGCTCCTGAACCCTTAAAATGAAAAATGACAAGATAAATTACCACTTAGTGGAAACTAAATCAAAACAGTTACTAAACTATCCAGAGAGGGACCAAAAAACCATAAAAAGACAAAGTGTATCACCTGCAAATTCAGCAAGTAACCACATTTATCATTAAGGACTCAACCCTGCCAACAGCAGTTTTTGGAGGAAGCCCAATTTCCCCCTAAAAATAATTTCAACAGACCAGCTATTAGACTATTATTTACATGAATGACAGACTGTGAAGTTCTTCCAACACAGAAGGTTAGACTTGTGGATATAAAACTGGCAAAACATACTGGTGGTAAAAATAGAGCTATGACTACAGAAGGGACTGCAAGAAAGAAAAAAAAAAAGATCAAGCAATCTTTAGAAAACTGTTGATTGAAACTCTTATTAATTATGGGGAAAAAATTAAAATTAATATGTATTCCAAAACAGCAGAATGATCAAAGTTCCAGAAAACAAAGCAGATGTGAGAGAATTACTCACATGATAAGGAAATAGTTTATTGGAGTTTGCCTTAAGATTTGCTGAGATTGTAACCTGTATTGCTTCCTGGCATCTTTGCTGGTAAGAAACTACCTCTTATTTAAGGATAGTGGTGTTGTTATTGTTGAATTACCAAGCACTAAGGGAGGAGGAGTTCTGCTATGGTAGAACTGGGGCTGTAATTACTTGATTTTGCACAGTTTCAAAAAATCTATTCCTGACCTAGTTAGGTTTATAGCCAGACATGAGTTTTACTTTAAACACAGGAGAATGAGACAACAAGGTAAGAGGTTTGATTTTAAAAGTTTCTATGACATCTCACCTGCAGATTGAACAGCTTTGTCCAGGAAGCATCTTGTACACAGAACTAAGAGTTTTACACTTAGAACACTTGGAGGATCAGGCCCATGCAAAAGTAAGTCTATTTATAAGATACACAATATGAATGAAAATGTTTTGAGGAATATCTGCCATCATTTCAGAGACATACAGCCTTGAAGAGAACATTATAATTTCAACACTCTTTTGTACTATGTATCATTAATATGTCATCCCACTAAAACAGGGCTGGAAAGAACAGATTCTCCTTGAGAGGGTATTGAATGACATATATTTCAGAGTTACAACAGAGTAAGTACATAGTCAGTAAGGCAAAATACTGAAAATTTAACTGTTTGTTCAAGTTAATAAGGAAGTTATAATAAAGAACATTTTCCTTATCTCATGGGTTTGGAATCGGCAGACATGATCTGGAATTGGATTTCACCATGAAGTTTCTATAAAACATCACAACTGATCACTCATAACCAGGACAGACATTTTTCCTATCTTGCTTCCATCACAAAACAATTTTAATCTTTGCTATGAATTTGGAGAATTTTAAAACTAGTATTGCTTCCATGAAGTCAACAGGAATTTTGCACTGAATGGGGTGGGAGGATGACTGTTCTCCACACCTCCCTCTACTCTGCTACTAGAATTAGTGATGAAGCTATTTTTTATTCTGCATTAGAATTTTCCTTGTAGCAAAAGTATAAGGGAGGGAGGGAGGGAAGAAGGGAAGGAAGAAAGGAAGGAAAAAATGACACTGACAAATAGAAACAATAAAATAAAGGAATATATTCTATATAAAGGTGTAAACCAACACAAATTAAATGCAAGCAATCTGTGATCAATTATAAAATTAGAATTTTTTTCATGAACCAGATTCCCCACTAATGTAAATTAACAATTTGCTCAGTGTACAAAAATATTCAAAGTCAGTCAGTTCATCTGCATTCACACTTATTTTACATCATCCTGTAGTTGCACTTTATGGACACACATTTAATAATAAATCTCTTACCAAGGTGATGCTGGTTTTATGTAATCATATCCTTTTTATAACTTACTAAACTTATAACGATATTTAATTTAAAATAGGAAAGTCAGAGGAGTATTTTAAAGGTTCGTGATGCTTACGATTTTTAGGTGAGGTAAAACACTTTGTCACTGGAGCAGCTGTCAGAGCCAGACCTCCGCTCTCAGCACAATGGGCTGTAATAACCACCTATTAGCAGTGGTGTCAAGAGGTGAGTGTTCCTGACACGGCTTCCTCGACGGTGCTCTGTCCCATGCCAGCCTCCAAAAGGAAAATGAAAAACCCGATATTTTCCTGTTGGCTGACCCTTTCCTCCCACAGCTTCCTTTCTGAATAAAATTTTGACACAAACGGTTTAAAAAAAATAATAAGAGGCGGTGCTAAGGAAGGAAGGAAGGAAGGAAGGAAGAGTGTCTGTGCCAGTACACTTTTGCTTACCTTTACAGACTTTGGAGGCTGCTGATATCCTGACTCCCATGGTAGGTAACTCACTGAAGATCTTTGCTGAAGACTTTAAATATCCCACAGACACTTTGGCTCCTAGGGCAGTAAGGAGAGTCCTTTCTGTTATCTACAACGCTCACCAAGGCAAACCCCTGCACCGCATGTGGGGCACAGTCCCATTGACATGCGGGGCTCTCCATGGCCCCTGTGGCAGGGGAAGCACCCAAGGTCCCTCCAGCACGGGACCCAAGAACAGGGAACAAGCAACAGTCAGCAAAAAAAGCCCAGAAACATGAGACGTGTGAGGCTCTTTTTCAGAGGCTTTAAACCACCTTGTCCCCCCTCACTATGCTGCTTCAGGCCAACTCAGCCCTCACCTTCCACTCACCTCCCTCTCTCCCCCAGAAAGCCAGGTGGGTGTCTGCACGCATTTTCTGGCTCCCGCAGACCCCAAAACACGACCCCAGCGGACACGACCCCAACGGGTCCCCAATGGCAGCCCCACAGCCCCGGGTCCCCCCGCTCCCGACCGCCCGGGCGACCCCCAACAGCCCGCGGGGAAGCCGCTTCAGGCCTGGGGCTCCAGGCCGCGCTGCGGGGCTCGCCGGGGAGGGAACACCGCAACAGGGAGGCGGGCGGGAGGCTGGGCCGGGGCGCTGGGGGGGTAACACAGCTCGGCGGTGGCCGCGACCCTGCGGTGGCGGGGAGGAGGCGGCGCGGGGCTGGGCCGGGCCGGCTCCCCCTCCGCCCTCCGCGTCACATGAAGAGGGGCGGGCGTGGGCCGAGGCGGCGGCGGCTGCCGGACTGAGGCAGGGCTGGGCGGGAGGGCGGGCAGAGCAGCGCGGCGGCGGAAGCGCGGCGGAGGAGGAGGAGAAGGAGAAGGAGGAGAAAAAGAAAAGCGAAGGAGAAAGAGGAAAGAGAAGAAGGAGGAGGAGAGAGCGGGAGTGGCCGCGAGGCGCCGAGCGAGCGGAGCGATCCCCGGGCCTCGCTGATCGGCGGCGGAGCGCCCTGCCGCGGTCCCAACATGGACGAAGAGGGCGCGGAGGCGCGGCGTGAGTGCGGGGCCTCTTGCGGGCGGTTCGCGGCCCCTCGCGGCGGCACAGGAAGGTGCCCCGCTCCGGAGCCCCTGACAGCGGCTGTGCCGCGGCCCCTCCCGCCGGGGCTGCCCCGTCCTGCCCGGCGCCCCGAGCGGAGCCGCTGCATCGCCGGCCACAAATGGGGGCTCTGTGCCCCGCACCCGGCGGGGGCGCGGCGGTCCGGACCCGCTGCCCTGCCCTGCCCTGCCCTGCCCCGCCGCCCCCGGCAGTGCCCTGACAGCCCCGCGCCCTTTGCCTGCAGCTGCCCGTCCGCTGGGAGAGGGCAAGGGGGGAAATACTAAAAACCAAAAGTACGTGTCTGGCAGTGTACGAGCAGCGAAAAGAGTAATTAAGCCCTGCGAGGGCTCTGTTTGTGTGTGTCATCTTAATGGAGGCTCGGTGATAATCACGGGGTGGTTCAGCCAGTTTAAACGAGGTGAACTGTTTCCAGCGGCAGCGGCGTTAACCTTGCCAAGATACTACTTTTAGAAAATCCGGACTCTCATGCTGGGGAAGCTTTTATTTGTAATTTTTATCTTACTGGAGACCGGCTTGCGCGCTGTCCCAGTTTAAGGCGCTGCAGACGTGCCACACGCTTCCCTCCTTTAATTTATAATGGGTTCTGTGAGTGCGTGTGTAAAGCTGCTGCCTGAAATAACCAGTTCTTGTGTATCATCAGCGATAATGGTGGCTGAGCAGGAGCTGATCCTGCCCTGGGGCAGAGGGATCGACTGCATGGCCTGCCCTATATTCACTGTGTCTGTGGCTGTCTGTGCAGTGGTGGTACAGCATGAAGTGATGAGGGTATATCTTAAATAAAATGCTAAACAGGCTGCCTTTGAATGCACTGGCTGATCTCTAAATAGCTAAAGTAAGGGCTAAACCTCGTGTGATTATTAGTTGCACGGTACTTGCTAATTCCAAATATAATTACCCAGAACTCGGAAATCAAGTGGGTGTGGTGTTTGTTTTGACAACTTGAAGAAATAATGCTATGGTGAATCAGAAAAATAATTCTTCAAGCCGTCGTTTGGAAGTGTGGCCATTTCTCAGCAGGCATTTCTGCTTGTTTTGTCAGTGGTAGACTTAAATCTTGAAAAAAAATCTGAAAAAGGAAAACAGAAGACAAAACAAGCCAGTCCTGAAAAGTTATTGTTCAAAGCACTTGAACACTGTAATTCTAAAGAACAGAAAGCTCGTTTAACTCAAAATATGTTATTTTCTCAGGATTATGGACTTGCATCTGTAGTTAAGGAAAATGAAAATGCTTGTTACTGGCACTAACCCTGTGTGATACAGTACTTAATCACATGCAAGGTGTAAATTAGAAAGTGGACACATTGCTGAATCAATCTTTCATAAGGCGTTAAGCTTTTTAGAGTTGGATTTTCAGAGGAGGAAAAATACTCAGGACCTCGAGAGGAGTCGGGCTGTATTTAGCTGAAGGCTGGTTCTAGAGGTGAAGTCAGATTTGTACCTAGCATGCAAGTGAAACTATTATTTATAACTTCATACCACTTTAATAAACATGTTGCTTTTTTGGGTCAAATTACAGTATAGTTTATGTTCACGCTTACTTGGCTTCGCTGTAAAACAGTTGCAGATTAGTAAGACTGGACATTTTTTTTGCAATTGGTGTATTTGACGTTTTACACTGACTTCTTGTGAGTATTGCGCTTTTTTTTTTTGAATAGAGATCCAGTCTTGCTTTTCCTTATGGATTGCTGTCAGTTTGGAACATCAGGATCAGTTAGGTCATTTCCAGCTAATGCATTAATATTTTGAATTGCAAGTTGTTTTGTTTGGTTTTTTTTTTCCTTTTTTTTTTCTTTCTTTAATAATAGCGTCGGAAAGTGTGGATTTGACAGCCAGTTTTATAACCCTTTATTACTGCTGGGTAGTGAGGCTTGTGATACCTCAGCAATGAGACTCCCTTGGGAGTCTGACCAGGGCAATCCAATGTTTTGAACCTCAGCAGAACATTCTAAATCCTCACAAAATTAACATTGTTGAGTGGGAAACGCCTAGAGATAAGCATATTGCTGTGTACAGGTACTTTAGGAAGTATGTAAAATTATTTGAGGACTGCACAGAGTCACCCTAATTAGAGACTCGAACTAGATAAGGATGTAAATATCTAGGACATTAAACTGTGATTCAGGAGGTAAGCTGCTATTCCCAGTTCAGCTCTGCCTGTTGCCCTGCTCTTCAGTTTAATTTGCATCTGATGCTTCAGTTCCCTTATTTGTCAAATGGGGTCAGTTGTTTTACCACCTCTGATAAAAGCTGTGAATGAAAACAGAGCTGTATAACGTTAGAATTTATTATTTTAGAAGCACTTGATGGAACAGAAATGTTAATTAAGGGAATTGTTCACAACTCCTCTTTCTCTTTTGTATGTGGAGCCCTAAACAGGGCCGTGTATTTATATTATACAATCCACTTACGCACAAGCCTCCCATTGATTCCAGCAGAGGCTCTGTGCATGGATTATTGATGTGATATGATCCGAGTCAGTTGGTGTTTGGCTCAACTTTCTTTTGTGTTCTGATTAAAATATCTCTGTGGTTCACTTAATCCAGGAAATTTCTCCTCCTCCCCCTCCTCACTTGCTTTAAAACCACATCTTGTGTGATTTGACCGAGGCTTTTCTTGCGGGCTCACAGTGAGGTGGTGGTGGTACCAGTGACCCGCCATCCTTGCCTTCAATAGTGCTGTTGGCAGCCTGTGGAAGGTCAAAATGTATAAACAGTGCTGGAGGCCCAGGATAGTACTTCTGTTTGTTTTCTGAATTTGATTCTAGTCATGCAGCAGCTTTCTTGTCCCCCAAATTCAATCCCGTGCCGTTCCTCTTGGAAAAGACTGCGGGATTGGGTACTTACCAACTTCTGTATGTTTGTTTTAAGCTGCCTCTACAAAGGGCTCTAAACAGACATGCCAGAAGGTTAAAATCCTGCTTCTACTTGACAAATAGACCAAATTACAGCACTAATTAGGGCATTGAGGTTTCCCTATGTTCCCCAAACTCTGTGCTTTGTTTCTGAATGTGGAAGCTTTTCTGGGACAGAGCAGTTCAGTTGCCAAGCTCTGTTGGTTGCTGGCTGTTCTTGCCAGTGCTGGTGCCAGGTAACACGTTGGGTCTGTTGTGTGGACAGAATGTAGACACCCTTTCACGAGACAGAGAGACTAGATCGTCTCACAGAGGACTCAGGAGAGCGGGTTTGCTGCCAAACCAGATTTAGCAGGGTCACTTCTGTTCTGCTGCAGGGCAAAGATTACCTATTTATAGGTAAAAGTTGTTAAATGTAACAAACACCCCAGATTTTTCTGAGAAAAAATGTCTTTAAATTGATTACATATATATATTTATACTTTAGACATGAACAGCCTCATCTTTTCACATTGTAATATCTTCCAAAGGTAGACATTAAAGATAGCAGAGGCCACGTGGCCTCCTCATGGTTATAGACATTTGCTTTGCATTTAAGACTAATTCTCCATGTTTTCTTCTTTTATGAGTTTCTTTTATTATAAACAAATGTGTTTTAACACAGAAGAACGTTAAATATGTTTCAATCCCTACCCATCAAAGTGGATAACTTGTACCAGTAGTTTTAAATAAAAGTTGTCCCAAAAGTCCTTTAGAGGAGGGCTTGTTGTTTTAAATAGCACTGTAGGGAAATGCCAAGAATATAAAAATGCACCTGAGTGTTAAAGTAACCACTTGGCTTGGTTCTAAGGAAAGAAAAAGAGCAGATACAGAGATGAAACACAAAAAACTAAATGACATAAGTAGACTTCTACCAGCTAGCAGAGCTTCATGCTAAGTCTCTTTTTGCTAAATAAATATTTCTTCATGCTAAACTAGTCTCATATTTGTATGGCTTCCCTGTCAGGTCAGTAGGCTCCTCATTTTTAACCCCAAACCATTTAATCTGTTACCACTGCAGTAAAAAGTGTCATAATAAAATATTAATAATTACACCGTAAATATTAGTTATTTTTGGTGGTATCAGAAAATGGGCTTGTTAATTGCAGTAACACATTAAGTTTTTTCTCAGCCTAATGTTCAATATTTTTAGCTCTGACTTGGAAGAAAACATGAAATTTTTGCAGATAGAATTTCCAGAAGTCTTTGGTTGCCAAACTCGATGGATTGTTATATAATGGTATTTGGTAACGTGCTCAGCAGTGTAAGCACGCCGTGGATTTAGGGGAGCAGTGTGCCTGTAACAGTGTGCCCAGCTGTACTGGTACAGCTGGGAAAGAAAGCTGTAGGATTTACTTACAGGAACAGAGTGTATTTTGCAGAACAATGTCTGGGAGTTGTAGTAATAGCCTCGTGAAAGTGGGTTCCCCATGGGCCACTGTTACCAAATGGATATTGCAATCTTTTAATATCACTGGAGCTGT